GAATTGTTTAATGAAAATCAGAAGATTTTGTACTGTCTGCAGTGCATCAGTGTGATGCAGTTCATGTTAAGAAATATAGGGTTATTTTATTTTATTGTTTATTAAGGGTAGAATAGTCTTTTCAATTTTCTTTATTTAGCCTATATATAGTCTCTTTATTTCTACGTTACATCATCTTTTTCGTATTCAATTGCATTATACATAATTAATGAAATCCTAGTCTCCTCTTCGTTTTCTTTATTTCTTTGGATTTTTTAACAAATAGGACAGCTGTCCAATTGGTTAAAATAGAATAACAACTAGAATGGAAATGCTAAGCTACAACAATCTATTGCTAATACTAATATTCCTTCAGCTACATGGGTGGCTTACATGTCCTCTTGGCTGACATGAGTCCCTCTTCAATTGTTGGCATGGCGGTGTTCTCATATCATAGCAGGTGTTCTGATATCAATAATTTCTCTGTATTTCGTTTCATTGGCTATATTTTTGTTGTTGATGCGACTCGTTCTCTTCAAACTGTCTTACTTGTTCCCTAATCTGTGTGTTGTTGGTTCTTGTTGATTTTCTGCAAGTTTTGTGCTGTGAAATAGACTGGTTCGCTGAAAAGGTAAACCTTTTTGTTGTTAGAACGTAAACCCTAAAGATTTAACTTCCTTTGATAATTTTTAGTTCCCTAACCTGCGTATCATTTTTCTTGTTCATTTTCTTCCGCTTTTATGCTACAAAATCTACTAGCTCGGTGAAAATGTACGATTTACTGTTCTTCTAACACAAAACCTACAAGAAGCCCTGATAATTTCTAGGTATATTTCCCATGGAATTTGTTGGGCGTTCTTGATGTTGTAGCTTAATCGGGCTCCTACAAAAGGAAAAGATGGTCATGCGGTTACTGAAGCTGCTTTCTGTCCTTATTAGATTCTATGTTTGGGGAAAAATCAAATAAGTGGAACAACTGTTTGCAGTAGTCAAATCAACCTCTCTTTTAGCACTTCATCTTCTCATCAAAGGAAGGTTCTTAAATACTTGATATTTTCTTGGTTGCATTATGATTGCTTTTGAATCATCTCGTGTTACACCACCTTTCTGCATTTATTCACATTTTTGGAAATCATTTTAAAAATTTTCTACCATGTTCTTCTGGTCATAAAACATTTTGGCTTTAGGTTCTCATTTGATTATCTATGAGGTCATTTTATTGTCAAAAAATCTATTTGTACAATGATTAAGAGATTGTAATTTTTACAACCTCTCACATGCAGATTACACAATTCATGGTTACACATGTTTTTGGATATACACAAAGTTTTTCTTATTAACATAATTCTAGGAACTGGACAGAATTTGATTAGGCTATGACTGTAATAATTATTTATATTTCTGTTTCGCTCTTCATTCCTAGCATTATGTTCTTAAGTTGCAAGTTTTCATGTAATGTAGCTTGGTGAAGACAAAATATTGTAATTATATCTGTTGCTAGAGACTTTCTGGTCATGTTTCTTTTCATACAGTCAGGGACGGACCCAGCTTCCGGCCAGGGGGGCGACCGCGCGTGCTGGGTTCCGCCGGACCGACCGGATTGGCAGTGAACTTCGCCGCCGAGCACCTGGTTCGTCTTCTTCAATCTTCAGTTTTTTTTCTGTTTTGAAGTGGGCTAAGTTCCTTTTTTTTAGTTATTCATTTTCAAATTGGGCCAATTTGGCCAGCCCATTAATTCATCTATTTTTTT